ATTTCCAAATTAATCAATATGGTTAAAGCTAAAGCTATGTCGGCAACAATAAAAACAGCAGCAACAATAATAACAATAACAATAACGCAACAAATAATATAATAATAGTTAGATACCTTATAAAAAATTTTTCACATTCTTCGCAATAATTTATGCATTAAATTAACCTTCTATAATCAATTCTATGTAGTTAGCTTAATTTCTTCTCTTCTCTTTTTTTTTTCCTCAATATGAAAGCTTTTTTCGTATACGTCATATGTTTATTCAAATACTTCACTTAATATGTATTAATTCAATAAAATATATATATATATATTTATACACATATACACATGTGTGCATAGATACGTATATGAGCATGAAAGTACGTTCAGTTTAAAACGAATTTTGAGTGCGCTCATCTCTGTGGGATATGCTTCCCGATAATAATATAAATAAAGAGATATGTAATCGATTATGTATTTGAGATAGAGTTTCGTATAAGTTATGTATATATATATATAGTAATCATAAAGTACGTACAAGAAAATCGGCGACTCATTTCAATATCTTTCTTAAAAGGTAAGCTGCGTTTGCCTATTTCGTCGAAGCAGACATTAGTTATTAGATATTTAGGTAAAGCTAATAAACAAGAAATTCCAAGAAACTTTAATCATAATAACGTTGCTTCACATATATATTATACATTTAAGTATAGTCGTATGGAAAGTGTACTAGAATGGATAAATATGTAAACTTTCCAATAAAATATGCTTTTCTTTTGTTGAATTTGGCGGCACGAAAAGAAGGATTTGATGAAATGTTCTTATCTATCACGAACTTATCAATTCATTACAGAGTGCGTGACGCTACTGCCATGAGCATTGTTTTCGCACAAGCTCTAATATTTCTCTTTGATGAATGCTTTTTCTTAAAACTTTATATCCACCAAATGTTCTGGCTAACTTACTTAGAGACTGTATATTCACCAATTTTTCAAGTGTTCGGGAAAAAGTCTTGCTGCGTCATTGGAGATGTGGAGATGCGGTAAAAGTAATATATATAGCTGAGTGTCCTATGCCAGGCATAAAAGTGCAAAAAAAAAAGTAACTTTCATCTTCTCAAAGTACAAAAATGCTAACAAATAACACAACAGCTAAGTATTGAATGCATCTGCTCTTCAGTGAATCGCTTCCAACAAAGGATTACATCGTAGACAAACTAATTCAGAATCTTAACCCAATTCCACGTTTTGCTTTTTTTTTTATTATTTTTTCTTGCATTGTTTTCGCAAACTGAATAACGGAATTACTCTCAACATTCTTTGAGAAGCGTTTGCTAAAGAGCGCATGTCTTTTTTGCTCTTCTTTGTTTTTTAGTGCTAATGTAGGCGAAATTAATTTGTCAATTTGCGGATTAGGTTAATTATTAATGGTAATAACGAATCTGACCTTTTTCGCATGACAGATTTAAATAACTTAACGATTTTACTAAACACTTAAAAGACAATTAAACGAAATATAAACCACATGTCCTTATGCGAGATACACCATACGTTCATTTAAATTTGTTGCAAGCAAATATAAAATATGTGTATATGTGTTAGGAACTGTTCGATAAACAATACTCGGAACAAATAGCATTTTTCCGTACAAAAAAATATATTACAACGTTATGGTACATCTACGATGTAAGGGATTTAAAGAGAAAACCTAGGTATCTAGGTGGGTCGGTCAGATTCTTCTTGAAAAACTAGGAATCGATTAATAGGCAAATTATAAACTTTAATCAAATTATTGGCAAATATGAATGCGTTCTATTCGCATGTGAGAAACATTAATGGATGCAGAAATGCTTCACGCAGTCCTTAACGATAGGAAGGAAGTTCTCTATCGCATCTTTTCAATTTTTTAAAGCACTTAACTAAAAATGAGCACAAATGATGGATGTCCTTATGTGTGTATTGATTTGTAAAGGCTAAAATCCACGGTGTTCGATACCATATTTTTTTTTGTCGATTATAGCCCAACGATGTTTTAGCCGCTGCGTAGCGGCAAAACAAGGCCTATCTAAAATCTTCACTATGCGACAAATTGTGTCGTTTTCGAACAGGTACGCCCATATTTTCCTTATTTTTGCAATATTGTTTAACAATGAAACTGCATTGCTCTCTCGTGCAATGCTTCATTTTTACTAACCCTAATCCTCACGATGCGGTATATCATAGAATTTTTAAAAAAGATTGAACTTACTTTTAATAGGACTGACTTGTGAACTTATTGTATCCAAAAATGTATTAAAACTATCCTGGTGCTAAGAAAGCGCTCTTTTCGTTAAGGACTTGACACCGAAAGAGAAATAGACTTTTGATTGGTTCAAGCATTTTTCATTACATTTGGCTAGAAATGTAGACCGAAAACATTGACGTATTGCTTGAGAAAAGCACGCGTTATCTTCAAAGCAGCAAGTCAAACTATTAAGAACCTATAGATTGACATGCAAGCCATAAATACATACATATATAGTTTTCACGAATATGCATATATCTCTAGTTGTGTTTTTTATTTTATTTATTTTTTTTTTTTTTTTTCTTAAGAAAAATATTGCGGAAAAACCGCTTAGGTTACGCTGGCCGAAGTGTTGGTCAATTTTTGTAAAACGCCATTTTTACAGCGAATGTGAATTAATCAAAAAGAAGAAAATTTCAAATTACTGGCAAATAAGAAGACTCAAATAGTTACCCGCCCTTTATATATATAAAAAGGGTAGTGTAATCTCCCATAAACGATAAATACGCACTGAGCACTCCATAGTGACAATGTATATCCTAATAAGCGGGACTACGTCTAAATCTTCTCTAGGGTATAAACAGAATTCCGTCTCGCTTTGCAAGAAGCAAGAAGCTTTATTGAAAACATATATACATCTTCTTATTATGTAATTTCGACCGTTTAATTCAATATGTGGCTAAAGTGTAACTGAAGTACGAAGTGTGTTGAAAAAGAAAGTGATTTCAAATTTCGTGGGCTACGCACACTCGACTTTCGCCTTTTTTTTTTTTTTTTTTTTTTCTTGATTACTTGTATGTCTCCCACATATGTTGACATTATCAGTCATTTTGCATTCCTCGTTTGTTTTTGACATATGCAAGGGCCAGACATGTTTGGTGTGCCGAGTGATCCATTTAACGCGCAAACGATTGAGTTCCTATAATAATTTAGAAGAAGCATTTATCTATAAAGACAAAGCTTCATTCCATTCTGCTATACCATGTCTTTCGATGACCGATGTTGTTCTATGCCTTACACACAAACATTGCATAAACTTCATCTACATATTTACTTTTTACTGTGTTGATTAGATAAAACTAATCATTTATATGATTGAATGTTCAATATTTAGCATAAAACGAGCTTAAATGAACATTTAAGAGAAAAAAAAAAAAAGTACAAAATATTCTTAAAAATGTTAAGAATTATTTGCAAATTTTTCTGTTAAGAAAGAGAGTAAAGAGGAAGAGGATGCTTTCATATGCAAAAATAAAAAAAAAAAATAATAAAAATAATTCCTTTAAAAAACCCTCTTTCTGTTTACCGCTTAAGCTTTTCTATAGTAAGAGAGTAAAGAGAATTTTCATTTATTGCAAGCTAACAACTTGTTGTATTGAAATAAATATCTGGCAGTGAGTTTGTATTGAAAACTATACCAACCAGGCACTCGTAAGCTGAGTATTGCAAATCTAATATACTACAAACACGCTATTTGATAATCTGAGACTCTCAATAAATGTGATTGCAAAGCGTTTTCTTGCTCTTCTTTTAGCTTTCTAATAAACACAGCAAGCAGTAATGTGTTAGCCGTTTATTTATAATATAGTGCTTTTTGCATTAGTCACAGAGCAATGTAGTAAATAAAAAAGCAGAAGAAAAATGATAAACATGTACGCGCATATGATGTGATAGTGATGAACTACTACTACACTTTGTATATGTATATCTGGATGTGGCTGGAGAATAGCGTCGTAAAGTGCTTTTCGCAAATACGAAATGAATAATAAAAATAAAACTGAAATCGAGAAACAAAAGAAGAAGAATTAGCAAAACTTGCTATTTACCTTTGTCTCGCTATTCAATATTATTGTATATCGACTGGTTTTTGTTTTTTTTTTTTTTTTGTATGCGCCAAGGCAACGGAAAGTCTCGCATTTATGCTTCTGGTGCATGCAACTATTTTCGTATCGCTTTCTTCTACGTAGAGTGACTTTTGGCGAGCTAAATGTGAAATGTCTTGAAAATTGTAATTGTAAAAAAAAAAGGAGAAAAATTAATAATTACGAATTTTGCAAAAGTAAGCAAGTAATCAGCCATATACCAGCCATCCAATCTTCAGTTAGGATGTCTTCTCATATTGAAGGGAACCTTTGCCTAGTGCGATCTTGGAGTGCTGCATTAGCATTATCACCCGGGTCATTCGGGTCATTTTGTTCGATTTATGTGTGTAGTGGCTTTTTAGGAGCATCAACTGCGATTAAAATCTGTACACAACGGTCAAGTAATTTGCTATCGAATATTGAAAGTCGACAATAATATGTAAATGGCTTTCGTTCTCGAACACATATATTCAATGGAAAAATGCAACGTGAGCCAATCACGAAACATCATTTTCAAAGTCTTTTGAACGCTTCAACTGCAACTTTCTTTTCTCAAATTTGTTTTCCCAATTATTTACGACATTTTTTCAGTGTTCTCCAAAGCAAATTTAAAAGTGTGACAAGCAAAGTAACTAATTTAGTATGCGCTTCAGCTACGGTATATAATGAGTATAAAAGTTATCTTTAATCCCTCGAGTACGTCGTGCACTAATTTTAATGATCTGCTGATTTTTTCTTTTCCTCTTTATTCCTAACGTAGCGATGGTAAATTTGAGACTTTTAAATGTCTGAGTAGCTTATGAATATCAATATCTAATATCCATAAAATAAGCGTTAATTAAAAAAAAATTTACTGATATATGCATTTCAGATCTATGGGTATTCTATTGCCTCCCGTATCTCAAGTGACCAATACCCGCATTAATTTGACCCAACATCATCGTAATCGTAGTCTAGACAGCGCTTTACAAAGAATACCAGAGGTAAGAAACTGATACCTGAAAACTCTCAAGATGATAAAAAGGAAATTTCATTATTTATCTGGAGTAAAATCTTTCAATCACTTTGCATTTTGTTTTTTTTTTTTTTCTCGATTTTTATTATAATATCGAATAGGTTGAGGTTTCGTCCCCCAATGCCGAGAGTGAGAATACATTTTGTACTCCATCAATACTTGGGTCTACAATGTGCTCGAAAATTGTAACAACAGCAGCCAATGTTACGGCTGCTTTAACTACCACTCAAACGCCCGCATTAACGTCATCAACAGCTAAACAGTCACCGGCAGCCTCATCCGTAGCTACTGAAATTGTATCCACCACAGAACCCACAAGTAATTTGATAAAAATAGTAACAACGACCGTGGAAACATCAGCGCCAACAACATCAAAAACATTATTGTCCGTAGCCACCCATAATAATATCGTAAATCGCAGTGTTATTGGTACGTACAATATATGTATAGTCTGTTGTAGTTACAACTTATTATCCCTTATGTATAGTTGAGCCTTATTGTTCTTCGTTACGCACACGACCTAAGTCGCAAAATAGTGAAGACTCTAACGTTTCAACAGCCGCAACCACAACAAACATACAACAAACGCCTTCTTCCGCCTCAAATGTCTCCTTAAATGGTTCGTCTTCAACAGCTTCCACATCCTCATTTACGGTTAATGCTAATAACGGCTTAACTGTAGGCTCTAATACTAATACAAGCGGTAATAATAAAAAACGCGAAGATCTTACCAGCTTAGGTTCAGACGATTCGGGTAAGTACTTTTTTTAAACAACTTTTCTCTCTATTCTCTTTTTATATACTTTAATTTTCTTTTCATTTTATGATATTTGAGGTTTTTCTTCTTCTTTAAAGGGATTATTTGTGGCTCAGAATCAGATCAAATTTCATTAAATCGCATACGACATTCCCATGAATCTTTAGATTCTGGCGAAATGGATCCCGAAGAAGAATGCATTGATATGTTAGAGACCACATCCATGGACGAGGAATATAATATGTTGCAATCGGATTTATGTTTCTATCAATCACCGGAGACAGATTGCCGAACTTTGAGGCCGACCAGAAAAAAGACGCAAACACCTAACGCGGTAGTGACAATTACTCCAAACGAAGACTGCAAGCAATTGGAAGAGTTAGATAAAGAGACAACTGACGCCAGAGCTGCTGGAGATGCTGAAGAAATAAGTGAACGCAAACGTTATCGCGAAATGAATATGTCCCAAGCAGCGATTAATATGGAACGCTCAAAAACAAACACTGAGGGCTTAGAAATAAAGGTAAACATTGCTGGTAATACCATCGCCACTCCCACACCAACTTCAGATGTTGTAGATTGCGTTATTGCATCGACAACCAATACATCCAATGTCGCTACCACACTAGCATCCGCTGGGAACAAATCGCAAAAAAATAACGACTCATCAACACCGTCAGCCACCACAACACCCGTTGAAAATCCCAAAAATGACGTATTATTTAAAAATTTCTTTGGAGCCACCAAAAACGCCATTTTTCGAACAGCTCAAAGCATTATCGAGAATCATGAAAAGAAAAATGCCTCAAAACAGCAGAGCAACAAAAACGGGGATGACTTATCTAATTCTGGTGTTGCTGGAGCTGGTGGTAGTGGCGGAAGCAGCGCCACGACGGTCGACCAAGTAAAATCGCCAACAGATATATCAAAGAAAAAAGAATTTTTCGGTTTGCTTTCTACAAATGCCAGCAAAAAGGCAGCGGCAGCTGCTGCAGCTGCTGCTGCCGCTGCGGCCGCCGCAAATACTTGCTCATCAAATTCAACGCCGGCAACTACCCCGCTTGAGCAGCCGATAATCGACAAATCCTTAGAGAAGGAATTGTCGGAATGCATAGAGAAGACTTTAAATTTACAAGTGCCACCTGCCTCGACCTCGACCATTTCATTTAGCGCTACCTCCATATCGAAATCATCTTCCATATCATCATTAAATAAACTCAAGGTGCCCGGCGTGGTCAAATGTTTCATCAAAGAGCGTCCGAACAACGCTCCTGATGCAACCAATCAACAAAAGACTGAAAAGGGTCCCAGCGGCCTGTTGAGATTTTTTGAATCACCAGTTTTTAATATACATTTTGCCATCCATTACTTGTTCTATTCCAAGGAACCAGGTGTTCTTAGTTTTATCGGCAATAAAATTTTTAGTTTTCCCGATCAGGAGGTGGATCTTTATATACCGCAATTAATTGTAATGTATATACAAATGGATGAATTAGCTGAAGTTTTAGACCCCTATCTAACTATACGTTGCCGTAAATCAGTGGACTTCTCTCTTAAGTGCCTATGGTTGCTGGAAGCCTACAATTATCAGCCGGTGGATACTATGGGCAACCGAAAATCGCAATTGGCTCTGATGAAAGAAATCTATTCAAAAAAAGAGAGAAAATTAATAGGAGGGAAAACTGAGCTAAAAGAATCTACGCAGACATCCGCAAGCAGCTCTTTAACAGCCTTAGCAAAGAAAACTCATCATCGCTCGCAATCAGATGCCACTGTTTTATTAGCAGATTCGAGACATTTAAATACTACATTAAGTATTTCGAATCGATTTTATCAACAGCCCCCCTATACAACACAAACCTTGCCAGCCACTCCTGCTAAGCTCTGCCTAGGGGATTTGACTTCGGGTAGGGCCTTCGATAACGGCTGCACCTGCTTTGAAACGGTACGTGGTCAGTTTAATGATTTACTTGGCCAGAAGACTGTCTGCGCATGCAGTGCACCCAAGACTGCACCGCAAAAGGAATTCATGAAGGCTCTCATCAACGTGGGCAAAAACCTGACAGCTTTGATAACCAAGGCGGAGAAAACGTCGGCATTGCGCATGTTTTTGAATTTGATAAATAAAAATTTGCCCGCCCGTGTTTGGCTTCCACTATATTCAGACATTCCGCACCATGTGGTGCGTATAACAGAGGAAAAGACTGCTGTACTCAATTCTAAAGATAAAACGCCCTATATTATTTACGTGGAAGTAGTCGAAGTAACCGACATATACTCGTCGTCATTAATACCGAAAATGATGCCCTCATTACGTCACACCAAATCCGAGGAACATTTAGAGGCTGGTGGAGTTAGTGCGAGCGCAACGATGTGCCAACATCAACAACATGCTCATCAACCGCATCTAATATGCAGTCGTACATCGAGTTGCAGCAGCAACAGCGGCAAATTGGGTTGTCAACGCAAAAAGGATAAACTGTTATCGGGATCTTCCTCGTCGGTGGGCTCTGGCGAGCCGGGTGCAAATGTAGCAGATCATAACAGCTGCAGTAGTAGTAGTGGTGGGGGTGCTCTCATTTTAACGCCTCCCCAACTCCATGAAGACGATGTTTGGTCACAGGAGGATGATGAGATTACTGCGCAATATTTGCATATGCGAAAAATGCGCAACAATTGCGAACGGGACGCTATATCGCAAATGTCATTGGATTCATGCGACTCGAGAGATCCAGGTAAACAAAACAGATTTCAATCAATAAACGTAGAACGCAATTAAGAAATTTTAATTACACAGGCATGCCTGTACTATTCAATATAGGAGATGTGCGAACACGCCACTGCAATAATTTAAGTTGCGAAAATACAAAATCGTTTAGTAACGATCCCGAAGACCCATCAGCAGCAGCACTTAAGGTAAACAAATTTTTATCAATCAAAAAGACTTAAAAACTAAATTTTCAATGTTTTAGGAACCATGGCATGAAAAGGAAAAGCAAATACGTGATTCTTCACCGTATGGCCATTTAAGTAATTGGCGTTTGCTGTCGGCTATAGTTAAGTGTGGTGATGATTTGCGGCAAGAATTGATGGCCACACAACTCTTACAAGTAAATTTCTATAAAATTATTTTACATAATTTTTTATTATATGAAAATTTATGCGTTTTTCTCCTTTTCGCCAAGATGTTCAAAATAATTTGGCAAGAGGAGAATGTCGATTTATGGGTGCGTCCTTATAAGATTGTCTGCCTGTCGAACGATAGCGGTCTGATCGAGCCCATACTAAATACAGTTTCATTGCATCAAATTAAAAAGAACTCCAACAAATCGCTCTATGACTATTTTGTTGATGAATATGGACCCTCTGATAGTGATGCTTTTCGTTTGGCCCAAAGGAATTTCGTGCAAAGTTGTGCAGCGTATTGTATAATATCGTATTTGTTGCAAGTCAAGGATAGGTAAGAAATAATCATTACGTCCGTCCTCAATCTAATCGCTAAAGTCATAATAAATTTTGCTTTCCTTTTTCTTTTTTCTTTTTTTTTCTGCTTTTATTGTGGCAGGCATAATGGCAATATACTGTTGCACTCGGATGGCCATATCATACACATCGATTTCGGTTTTATTTTAAGCATATCGCCCAAGAACTTGGGTAAGTTTAGTTCTGAGTTATGTTAGCAAGGCAAATGTACATATATATATACTAGAATGATATCGTTTCTCTTAAGGATTTGAACAATCGCCCTTCAAATTGACTCCAGAATTCGTTGACGTAATGGGTGGCACGAGTTCGGAACATTGGCGTGAATTTAATCATTTATTATTGGTTGGCATGATGACGGCACGGAAACATATGGACCGTATTATCAATTTTGTGGAAATTATGCGCAGCAGTAAGTGAACACATTTATCTCTGATTTTTATATTTGCATTACGTTGGCCACGCCATGTCATCCATGTTTGCAATACATACAAAAGCTTATTATAAAATTGAAAGCTTTTTATACCCTACCTATAACTTGTGGTACAACGCTACATTAAATGCATGCAATAACCAGAAGAACTGGAGAGGGACGCACCTTTTATTTTTACTGATCGACTTCGAATCACTTTCTGAATTGATGTGGTGTTGTCTGTCCATCTGTTGTTTTCTTGTATTCAAACTACAGGCCGCAATCTTCGAGATATTTTGATGAAATTTGGTACACTGGCATATTGTAGCCCAGTGGTTGAAAATGGCTCGGATCGAGCCACTTTCTCGACAACTTACCATATAATGCCTTAGATTTCAAAACTTTTGAAAAAATATCTAAAGGACATCGTACATACATTATGACCATGACAATTAGCTGTTATGCGATTTAAAAAAATTCATATGAGAACAATTATAAATTGTATAAAATAAAACATCGTGTTATAGTGAGTTTTCTTTAACAAAAACTTAGCAAGCGAGAAGACCGCTTGTCACATACGAAAATAAAAATCATATTATATATATATAAAATCAGAATTGCCTGTTTTTACAAATTTCACGATCGCAAATATTGAGATAAAAAGACGGAATATTAATCACATTTTGCATGTTAGTCAAAAGAAAATTTATGTGATCCGCTGCTAAACGTAGCCATGCTAGGCGAAAAATTTTAGTTTACGATCCATAACAGATAAAAATTAAAAAATTTGGAAAAAATATTTATTATCATCATTAAATATAGGCGTGACCAGGCGGCAAACACGCTCACAATAACCCCCCCCCCCCAAAAAAAAAAAAAAAAAAAAATTAACTATCAATACTTTATTTAAATATTTGTACTAACTTTGTTTTGATGAAAATATCTACCTAAAAAAAAAAAAAAAAAAAAATGTCGATTGGACAGGTAAGCAACCTCACAATCATTTTCATGCATTAGTCTGGGATACTGGGTACCGAAAATTCATCTTAGGGCCAATATAATTTTTTTACTTGCTCACTTTGGTTGTTGCACAATTACATAATTCTTGTTTTTCGTTACGCTTCAGACGCTCAATTGCCTTGTTTCAAGAATGGTTGCTCAGGAACAGTGCAGAATTTACGTAAACGTTTCCATATGAATTTAACCGAACAAGAAATGGAACGCAAAGTTGAACAATTGGTGCAAGATTCGTTGAAGAGTCTGTCTACCAAATTATACGATGGTTATCAATACTACACGAATGGAATATTGTGAGAAAGGTTTTTCATGAAAATCTAAAGAAAATCCCTACAAACGAATGGGGGCAAAAGGGCGAAACTAAGAACCAACAACAAATAACAGCGAAGGTAAATGAAGTAAAATCAAATATAAAATAAATTATATTAAAATATAAGGAAGCGAAGCCAAGTTGTAGGTTTAGATCAAATGAAGTTTTAGTTTACGTTGTAATAATTAATTATAATAATAAATAAACACGAGTTCTTGACTTGTTAATTTTTTTCTCTATTATTTTTTTTAAATAAAAAAGCAAAAAAATAATATAAAATGGTTTAATGTAAATATAGCTTAATTTGAAAATTATATTAAACTTAATTATAGTAAAAAAAAAAATTTGACGGAAATTAAATTAATAAGATGAAATTTTGGCTTACTAAAAAAAAAAAAATGAATAAATAAAAATAATAATAACAAATAAAATAAAAAGATATATATATCATATACTACATATGTATATATATATATCATATATATATATATATATATATCATATATATCATATATATCATATATATTATATACTACATATGTATATATATATCATATATATCATATATATCATATATATCATATACTACATAATATATATATATATGACTGCATTAAGTATGTGGCTTAAGTTTTAAATTAATTTTTTATATAGATATAAATAAAAGTAAATGTTAGATTTTGATATTTAATTAGACTTTTGGCATTTGCAAAAAATAAATAAAAACTCATCAAAAATAAAAAGGATTGAAAAAAGGCAAAACTACAGCAACAATAACAACTTGTAAACCTATATTAAATAAATACTTTATGTGCTTTTATGTAAACATACTTTAAACAATTATGTTTTACATCAGAAAAATAATAATAATTAAAAATCTATATTTTTACCTTTTTTATTATAAATAAAAATAAAAAACAACACTATAAATTTAATTTTCAATTAACAGTTAAATCAAATTTACTCTCTTCAAAAACAAAAACAAAAAAAAAAAAAAAACAAAAAAAAAAAAAAAACAACCAATTGCTTAAAGTAAATCTACATTTTATATCAAATTTAGCAAACAGACTTAGAACTAAAGGTATAAAAAAAATAAATAAACAAATGCAAGAATCAAAAAATGTATTTAAAGGCAAAAATATTTCACTATTTACAAATGATTTTAAAATAATTAGCAAAGCAACAACATTAAGTATATGAACTAAAAAGAATCTTTACACCATCACGAATGACTTAAGAACAAATTTCTTCTATTTTTTTTTTTTTTTTTTTTTTTTTTATACATATATAAAATACATTCACAATCGAAAAAATACTGACATAACCGTCATTTTGCATTTAATTGTTATAGAATAACATGTTTTATAACTCATCGAAAACTAGTCTACACCAAATTGTCAAGAAAAATTTCATTTCAAAAACGTTACTTACGCACTCTTTATACCTTTCTGGTAATGATTCATCGCCGATTCAATCGATATTGTGTATTGCGTTTGACTCTCACGTAGTACTTTGTATGTAACTTCCACCGGTAGACCGTGTGGGCCTCTAATGCCGACCAATTCAAATATAAACATTTTTCATACACTATCATGCCTACCTTATCCCGATTCGAATGGTGAGAGATCGCAAAAAAAATAAATAAATAAATAAAGAAAAAAACAAGCCATCTATGCCGATAATCTGAAAGTTAGAGGAAATATTAATCAATGTCACTTCCAATTGACAAAACACGACTTCAGATAGTAGGAGTTAAAAACGAATATAGTTTCCTTTCCTATTATACTAAAGCGTATTGTGCCTTGAAGTATCTGATGATGTTAGAAATTTCTAACAAAATATCTCACTCTCTTCTCTTTTGCAAACATTATAATACTTTTGCTCGCCTTTTCAGATTTTATATAGTATTTGATTAAATTTAACCAAAGGCATGTTCCATTCCTTAATCGACAACAGATCCGCTGACTTTGCGCCGTTTCGACCGCGCAAGTAAACGAAAATTGAATTTAATTACTTCGTGAATTTTTATATCTTTTCAATTTAAAATTTAGTCTGAATATTCATAGGGTTTTATTTTGCTTATAAACTTTGAGTGGAGCTTTTTCCTATCTCTTCACACATAACCCCCAAGAGAAGCCTTCAAGGAATTCATATATTTCTGAAAAGTTTCTTTAAGCAATTTTGTGAAGAAAATGCTGCTCGCGTCTATCCGTTCGCCATGTACTTTTGTCTTCTTTGAAAAAAACCTCAATTGTGCTTTGCACAAATTCGTATCATCTTTCGTTGCCCATGACAGCAGATCAGCGGAACCAAATCGTTGCATACATTTCATAAAACATAAACTAAGCCACAAAAAAAAAGAAAAAATACCCTGACTGTTTTTGATAAATGCCGAAGTGCTCTTGATTATTTTACGCTTACCAACATAATAATCGATCACTAAAAAGAACGTTAAAGTAATGTTGTTGCCTTTTATTTTCTTTTTCTGTTTTTATTGTGAGTTAATCCGAACCATTCTCATCCTAAAAATAATAAGTATTCGTTTCAAGTTTTGAGCTTATACTTGATAAAGGTGGTAAACAATTAACAGATTGACACTAGCGAAATTTCGCCCTTTCTTTGAGACTATTTCAGAGAACATTTGTGATGGTATATTAACAAGCCTTAAATTCGGCCTAAAAACGCGACCTACGAAAGGTGTAGATTTCGGAAATTTATCTTATTTTATCGATCTGAAACCTTTAGGAATATCAAAAAGGGGAACATAGACCAAGAGAAGCTATTCGACTAAATCTCAGACTGATTAAAAATGATATACTTTGAGGGAATCTTTGTTGCGATATAATCATATTTGACCATCAGATCTAGTATGCTCCATGGAGTGGTTTTTTAAAGCAAGTGTTTTAACAGTTACGGTAATGGATCGAAACTCAATGAATTCTAAGAAGCGTCTAAATTTCATTATTTCAAAATATAGTATTTTCGATAATCGTATAACTGAACAAAGTTTCATAAACTTAGTAAATTAGTAAATGAATAAATTTTGAATTATATATATATATATATATACATATATATATATATATATATGAAGTTTAACGTATATTTACATGCATTGGTAACTCTTTGTCCTTTACGCTCATAATAAACTTTTCTAATCGTGAAATTGAAATAATTCGTTACTATCAAAATCTATATATTAAACTAATCTTATCAAATAAATTTGAAAAAATAATTAAATAAACAAATAAAAATTAATATTTAAAAACGAAATAGCACACAACGCTTAACAGTCGTGTGCGTATGTTCTCTTCTTGATATTATAATTAATTAATTATTACTAAATAAAAATGAGAAAAATATAAATTGTATACAAATATAACTAAATTACATTGAAATTATTTTCAAACTATTAATAAAATTGTCAAAAATACAACTCTCTCTAATACTTAAGATCTTTACAGCATTGATATAAAATATATATTAAAATAGTATAAATATTGTATTATACAGGAATCAACAAATATCGCATACGTTTTACATTACTATACTATAACAATAATCATTTTCATCATCAAAAAAAAAAAAAAAAACAAAAAAAACAAAAAAAATGCAACCGCAACAACAACAAATACATAAAAAAATTTTTTATTTGCTTAATTCGAATAAAAATTTAAAAAAAATGTTAAATTAAACTAACACGAAAATGAGTTTTATTTATTAATAAAAAGAGATTATACCGATAATTTTTTGAATTTTTTCTAAACTAAGAGTACGAAAAAACGTTGTCCCATCACCAAGGAAATTCAAACTTAATTTTTTTTCTGTACGAACTCAGTTTATTGATACATGAAGTAAAGTTTCGTTATATTAATATGGAAAATATAAAAAAACCATATCTGAATGTTTAAACAAAAAAAAAAAAAAAAAAAAAAAACACATTTGACCATGTTTACATAAAGTATGTGCAAGTGTTTGCGTTTTTTTATGTTTTTCGTTCCGGTATGTTTCATTCCGGTTTGTTAATTTCCTACGCTTAAAAAAAGTTGCATACTATTGAATTAATTATATTTACAATTATTTCTTTAAAAGTTTTTTGCTGACCTTCTGATCTTCTATTTGACCTCTATTAGCATTAGTAAGATATCTTTGCAATAACTAAATCAAAGAAGTTAAAAATCAACGCTAAACTTGTTTGCTACGAAAAATAGCAAGAATGCCTGCCACTGACAGCTGTTCGGCAATCAGCTGCTCGGCGTATCATTTACAAATAAATTGTTAGTAAGAGGTATTGGCGTTGTGTTTGATAAAAAGAAATTATTAATTGAACTTGGTAGAATGGTAAGTTTTTCTTAATAAGTTAATTAATAATAAATGTTTATTATTTACTTTCATAAAGTTGTTTTCGTTTTTCAATAAAAAGGGAGACACATTTTAAAAGTTTATTTTAGAAAATATTTTTTAATACAAAAAAAATGTAATATTAAAGTGCCGAATAAGTAGTGAAACGTTTTCAAAATGTTTACTTTTCAAAGCTAAATAATTAAATAATTAAATGGTATGCTGTTGGTTTTCTGATTTAATGCATATTCTTCAGCAACATCGCTACGTTTCCCGCCCCACGAGTGAAAGCGTTGCTTTTTGCCTAAGATAACTAAATTACGCTTTTCGTCTCTTTGTTCTTCGCGGCTCTTCCTGCTACACCTTCTAATTGCAGCATTCCTTATGCTATTAATGAAATCGAAATCATCAAATTGATCCATTATCAATTGTAGAAGAGACCAATCGTTCCTTTGTTGTTCAGGCGACTGATATTCGCCAAACAATTCCGCATCAGATGGTAGTCCATTGGCTAATGTCGAGAGCATTGTCGGTTTTAGTAAGTTGTACGCATTGCAGATATTTTCATATCTAAGTATAGCTGCTAGTAAAAAATTGCGGTATTTGCTTAACTGCGATTGGCATATTTGTAAATCTTGATTTGTTTCAGCCTTTGTATAATTATGCCAAACGCAAAATATTATCAAAAGCAATGGACTTCTCCTTAAGGTTAGCATGTTGATCGGCAAATCTGAAGAATATATGGAATAAAAAAAAAAATAAGTGAATTTCGTCAAACTATTCCAATAGACCTGTTGCCAAAGTCTTTCCAGTCTAATGGCACAAATCGTGTTCATTTGAATATAATTTACGCATTAGAGGTTCGCGAAGGGCTCATTTTTTGCGTACATTTAAAGTTATTAATAAAATTCTTTTAGCTGTGGACGCATTTATGGGAACCAATTCTGAAATAGGTTTACACAATTAGAGCAAAGAACGTTAAACAAGATTTTGATGCTGTCCTTTTTGAATGTCGAAGACGAACTCGCAGAGTGCTATGTCGTTACCGACTGAACGTTCACTATAGCTACGATCAAAGTAAATTCTACGGGACTGAGATTTGAATCCGCGAATATTAACTATTTAGTCGCGGTTTTTACATACTCAGCTTCTATTGAGGACATTTTTTATTTAAATGCAGTCTTGCGCTTAATGCAAAGCACAATATTACCAATTGAAAATGATGTTAAAAGTTCCATGGAATCAATTGGAATTCAAGTAATTATATTTATAAGAAACCATGATCTGACCAAGCGCAAGATCGAAAGTGCTGCCGATTTTGTAACAGAATATACGGGGTATTTGTAGTGCATTGAAGCGAAAAGTTTGAAAAAGCGAACCGAGTTAAGGATACAACCAAGAGCAAGCGTTTTAGGGCAAAAAAAAAACTTTCTCGACATTCTCAAATCTATTTTGAGTAATGGTGTGTAAATGCAGAGCAATTCTACTCTAATCGTTCTTTTAGCGAAGTCGAAATCATCTTAAAGAACTGAAGCATGGGTACATCCACGGACACAACTTGATTACTCGAATGTTACTATCTTCTAATATCTCTGCTGTGTTTCAAATTTGGAGAAATAAAGATCAGAGAGAAACATTACTTGCTCACGTCTTATTAAATATTTAGTGCAAAGTGTTGAGTCCAGTGGGCGTTTATTACGGAGCACAAACCTGCATGGACACGATATATCCAAGCGATAGCGCAAATACTTTACCAGTAAGGAGAGCAGGATTTCTTAAAACCAATAAAAAGTTCAATGATAAGTCGCTTAAGAAATTCAATCTTTTTTAATTGAAAGTTTATACAGTTCAATGCTCACTAATTTCGATGCAGTTTTCTTGAAATGCCACAATTGCCATTCTTACGTTTAACTGTATTTTTGTATTTGAACCGTGTAAAAAATCCTCTTAGAATAAAACCTGCTTAAATTTTGATTTCTTTATACCTTTTCAAATCGTTGCGAACCAAGGCACATTTCACTTCATAAAGAAACCGCTTTATAATTCCTTTCCAATTTATTCTTGCAAAAGCGAGCAAAGACGACTTTGCCCAGCAAACAGCCGGTGGATCACTGCGAAGACTTAAGCCATGGTGCTTATGTTTTATATCTTTTGCCTTGTATTCTGCTTTTGTGCTGGCAATAAAAGACAAACCCTTCGAAATCCAGTTAATAAAATAATTGCAGACAACAAACGTAACGAAAAGCGTGGAAATTTTTTCTGCAACATTACACACACATAAGTACACACAACATTTGACAAATTAGAAGGAATTAAAAGATTAAAAGAAAGCTATCCTACTCCGTCATATAAAAATTAATGTTTAACTGTACATAGCGTTTTCAGGAATTCATCCCTAGAGCGTTTCGGAAGACATAGAGACATATATATAACTAAACATATATAGACATAGATACATATAGATAACTAAATATATATACATATCCTTACGAGGAAAGGTGGGTTGTAGACTATGACAAGTCCTCCGAGTATTAATATTTCCATGTAATGATTTGCAATGGACGGTAAAATTTTTTCGAAAGAAAGAAAAAAAATTGAAATGAAAATTCTAACAAATAAACAGATGAATAACTATTTTCTTAAAATTTTGATTTTTTTTATATATACTCGGTTGAATGATGCTATAACATGTTGTTTTGATAATTTCGGCAGTCCATTGCATTGACGTGAATATGTTCATAATGTCTGCAGGATTCTGCAAAAAGTATATTTGTGTCTGTTGTTTTTAGAGCGCTTACGGTGGTTAAAACTGAAACCGAAGACTGAAAATTGGGGGTAAATTTGTGGTAAAATACTATTAGCCAAGTTTCAAAAACCCTCAAAATCCCTTTAGTTTGTCTTAATATATATCTCCTTCTATCCTCCCTCCCCCCTCTCTCGCTTTGTCTCTCTCTCTCTCTCTCTCTGACTTAAACCCCTTATAACCACTACTTTGTCTGCGCATATAGGAGACATTCCTAATCCATGTTTTACTGATCTGAAAAGCTTCATCATCACTTCTCAGAATCGTTCAGGCAGCTGAGACGACCACAATTAAAAAAGTTATTTCAAAATTTTTATTTATCAATAAGAATTGTTTGATAAGAATCATTCGATATTTGAAAAATTGCCGTAATACTTTCACTAAATAGCCTATAATAGCTGCACTATTGTAATATTGAAATTTGTAGGGTGTCGAAGAGTCCGGCTCAAACTTGTGTGTGTGTTCATTTGACGTCTACAAAGGGGGTGTGAATGTCGATTCGAAAACATTTCTCACAAAACGAGATGTTATCGCATGAGAGAAATGTGTCAAATGTTCATAAGCATCGCAAAAAATCGAAGGTATACTAAATTCGTTAATTGAAACGATTGAATCATTCATTTCGTCATTTCACTTTGTCTATTCGCTCGAAATTGCCTGAGCGTAGACTTTGGTGCTGAGACCGGTTCAACTCGTTGTATGCTCTATTCATATACTCCAAGTTGTTTCTGTTATTCTACCTGTCTATAAAAGAATCAGTGCTAGCTTAAAGCATTCATATGCATTTTAATTTGTCCACTCGCAATCGTATGCCTTAACATTCGAACCTAACATTGAACATATAGCAGTAAATTATGTAAAATTTCGACTAAGCTCTAGTGATTGTACACAGTTCATTTCTATCGGGTCGCAGCAATTTGATATGAATTTATTGCTGAACTCATTATTATTAAGTTAAACAATCAAGAATTTGTGCTTTAATGGACTGAAATTCAGAAATATTTTCACGCATCATTATTTTTTAATAGACCTTTAATTTAATTGCAATTATTTCTAATTTATTTATTTTTAATTATTTCATTTTATGCGTTGTTTGAAGAAATTTCGTTTTTGTGGCGATGGCGATTGTCCTGATTGGGTGTTGGGCGAAATTATTTTTTCGCTGTCGGTAATGGAGGCGGAAAATTTGGAGTTGCTGGCTGAATTGGTAGCCAAGAAGATATTGGGCGAAGATTTCGATGTGAGTATGTTTTTCAGATAAAGTTTATTTAATTAAATCTCAATTATCATTGAAAATTTTAAGGAATCTCTTGTTAAATCGCTTATACCGCCTATTTTACACGATGGCAAAAGTGCCATTGCTTGCATACATCTTCTATTAAATAATGCGGCCCGTCACAGTGTTACGGAATCGGTGTTCAATGAAGAAATACAACAATTAGGTTTACCTAAGCAACATGCAGAGGCGATCTGTCGTGTTTTATCGAATCATGCGACCGCAATACGTCAACGCTTGATAGATAAGGCGTTTAGAAGTACGTATGGGAATACAACCGTTAAGTCTAAAATCACATTAACGAACTGATGTCGAATAGAGTAATGCCAGAGATATGTCTGCTACGCTACATTTTTCCTCTGCTTTAAATCGAAATGTCCAATATCAGGCCATACTTTGGAAAACTAATTTTTAAGTTCTGATAGAATGAATCTAATTTTTGTGGAATAGGTTTAAATTCCATTACAAAAGACACTCCGAACTTAATTGTCAATTTTTTGATGTTGTCCAAGCCTGCAATGTTTGTAAAACTTCGTTAAGATTACAGATACTTTATTCGTGTAAGGAAAAGTACAGTTGTCATATGTTCGTTCTAAATGTAAGATTTTATTTATTTTTTAAAATTTTCATTTTATATATAACATATACATACGTAACTGTGTACCGAAACTAACAATTCTAAAATTGTAGTAAAGTCTCCCATTGCCATTAAATTGTCCGCAGAAAGCTCTAAGGAAAGAAATTTCGATATTTGCATTTCTGTTGCAGTTAATGAGTTATCCGCGGTGCAATATTTACCCTCTGTCGACGCAGGTATTAACTGTAGTACATTTGAATTGAAAATCTCTCAGGAATTGGTTGACGGTTTATCACAAAACAGCACACATGTCATCAATATTGATAATAGCCAGTTACGTGCGTTACTGGAGGAATTAAAATACGCTCGTGATGTTATGGCAAAATACGAAATACAAAATAAAGGTAAGTGAATGTGATTTCTTCTTTCAGAAAACTACTAATGAACTAATGTTTATTAGGATAAGACAGGATTCTATTAATCCTGTTCTACATATAGGATGGACGTGTGGCGCGAGCGTAAAAATCATGCTAAAGCCCTTCTATTTCTTCTTCCAAGAGATTTTCAGCAACCTGATTTTTCTGATTTTTTGCCCTGGTTTCATCAAGCTTGCCGAAGTTAACCATTCTTAACCATGCATCTCAAAATGTAGTAAAATAATTTTGCTTACGTGTTTTACGGTAGTATAAGTGAAGGTTTGTGTCTATGAAAATAACTTGCATTAAGAATAATGTACGCTTGCCTTACTTTACGCGGGATTGGCATTTAGTAAAGACAAAAACCAATGAGACTTATGCGGACATCTAGATTTGTTTTATTATTAATAGGTGGCCGTGTTCGGTAGTCAGAAAGGCATTAAATGTGTGACCTCATAAAATCTTTTCTTAGTTATAATTTACGAATAAGGATGAATAGTAATAGAGTTCACATTCATTACTGTTACTAGTTAGAGGGAAACCAAGCAGCAACATTATAGTCGTCCAAGACACAAAGACTTCACTTCAATGGCTTTAATCATAAAAACTACAAATAAAATTAAATAAATATATGCGATTCTACGTCTAATTTACTATGGGCCAATCTTCATCACGAAATATTAAATATTAAACCTTTATGGTAATAAGGATTTCATATTTTGTTGCGATCCCTGTATGCGATGGTGTCCAAAAAGGAGACCTACTTCGTACAGTTAAGTTTTATATCAAGTTACTCTTATCGGCCAATTTGCATCAAAAAATATCATCGTCATTATAGCAGTGGAAAGATGGTCCAACTAGAACTATTTTTAATAGGGTTCGTCGTTAAGCTAAAGTACTAGATGCGAAAACTGTAGATCAAATGGGATAATTTCTTCAACCCCTTATCATAAACCGTCCTACGAAAACTGATTTTTTTTTTTGTATTGTAAAAAGTCTTAATTTTCCATACATTTTGAAGGAAATTCATTCAAAATAATAATTTGACATTGAAAATTAAATTTACCGAATTTGGATTACATATATCTATTGTTTGGATCCCAACTCTCATTAGGATTCTAATGAGAGTTTAATTTTTTTTGTGATGGAAGCTATAGGGAATTTTTAGGGTTCACATAGTTCTACTTTTGAGACCGTGACAAAATCGAACTTGTGCTTCGTTATAACGAAAGCAACTGGAGGCTTTCATGAAAATTATGCCTCTGCCTAAGAAGAAGGTATGATGTGTATTATTAAGTAAATGAGTAAATGATTATATTAGGCAAAGTGGTGTAGGGTATCTAATTATTGGCTTGCCTGACTATAGAGTTCTTGCCTCTTTTTAGATTCAAATTTGCTACGGCTAGATTGCATGCCCCAAAGATTTGTAGCCTGATGCAGCTGCAGGCCAATGAAAACGATTAATGGAAAAGCAAACAGATAAAAGCTAAGTGCATATTCGCAGGCTCGTCATGCTCTTTTGTTTTAGTTCTTTCATAAAATTACATATCACTTAATTCAAAAGTTATGTAAATTGAACATAAATTCAAAGAGAAAATTAATTATAGAATAATTTATATTAGAATGGATAGAATATATAGAAAAGTTACTCATACGTACACGATATATGAAATTTATGATATTAAGTCTTAAATACAAAATTATTATATATTCATATATATATATCTATTTACACTGACGAGCAAATGCTTGCTTGGCTGTTCGAGGCCGTGGAAAGTTTAAGAAAAAATTCGCAATATATAGTCTTTGGTTACTAAGTGAAAAGCTCTTAGAGAACGAGTTTTTTTTTATTTAATTGGCATTGGAAAGTTTTTAGATGTAATCGCTGACTACGCTCGTTACTTATGGATAAATAAAAGTATGTCACTCTGCTTCTAGCACCCGGAAGTATTGAAGTGTGCAAGTGTGTAAAAAATAATCGGAACATATTTCGTTTAAACATCGAGGTTTATTGCATCTGTGTTAGCTGTTAGCCAGCAGCAGCAGATAAGCAGCCAGCATGCTTTGTAGCCAACATGTAATGAGAATGTATTTTTTTCTGAATACCCGCGTTATGATATCGCTGTGTTGTATTTTTCGGATACGTTGGCATGACTGCTGTAAACAATTGACATAAATTTCGAGACGTGTTCCATGTTAGGTTAGTAATAGCAGCGTTTTCTTTCTAATTTGTAGCGCGATATTTATCAGATCGTTAAGTCGTTTACGGGTCATAAGTTTCATCGTCAGTAATGTTACGAAAAACCCCAAATTCATTTAAATGTCAGCTAAGTAATTTTCGTAAGAATAAATTCCCTAAAGATGGAAAAACCAAATGTGCACATTCGCAGGCTCGTCATACAGGTGCAGGCCGATGGAAACGATTAGAGGAAAAACCAGACTGGGATTAGACCATAGATTTAGGTATAGTAACATTCTTGTAAAATTGTATATAAATCGAATATTTGTGAAAAGTAGAGTTAGTCTGGCAAGAACGTAGAAGTTGAGAGTATGGCCAAAAAAGAAATTGTAAATAAATATTCCTTCTGTTGTGAAAGACAAAGTAGTAAAATAAAAGAACTTTGAAGTACATTTCTCTTGATCAAAATATCCACGATCTAGTGATACGGACTGTATCTTGTAAAAAGCGAATTTCATAACAATATAATAATTACTTATTGTGTAACGTATATATTATATATATAATTATTATCATAAAATAGTAGAATCCTTGCCGTCACATGAGGGCTTGTTTTTCTTTTATCGGAAGAGGACCGAAGAGTAAACTAGTGTTAAGTTATTATACTAAAGTACTATAGAAGGCACCAATCCTTTGCAAATTTCGCACATTCTTTTAGTATAACAATATAATCTTTTTCGACGATCTTTCTTGAGTGATGATAAAAATGGGAAATTTTTTCTATATAAAGGCATTGTCAAAATAAAGCACTCGACCTTGGAGCAAAAAGTGCCAGCGTATTGAATATCTACAAAGATACTACCTGTAGATTGGATAAAAAACGTGCATATACACCAGACAAACAATAACAATAATCGATCTCATTAGGAGTCGTTTTCTATCGACAATTAGTAAATTAATGTAGAAGAACGGTCCATTGCCTTTTATTTAGAATAGTGGTGTACGTCATAAGATACTTTTTGCTACTTTTCTGTCGGCCCAATTTTCGGTATATTCAGATTATGTAAAACATTGTTTAGTTTGCAAACCGAAATAGAAGTCTAGTAAGAATGGATTTTTCACACTTTATACAACATACAAACGTTCATAAACATTTACTCAATTTACAAAGGAAATGCTAGAAAAAATGCTTGAAGAGAAAAACATCTGTTTTTCAGTTTTGTTCATCGATGCATAAAATTGACGAAAGTTTATTGAATAGATTTAAAAAAGATATTAAATAGCTATATAACGCCGACAGAGAATTAGTTAATTTAACATAATTTGAAAATAATTTAAAACTTGCTTATAAATTTTACTTTCAAGATTAGCAAAGTATACATCGTATTCACAGTTAAGCTCAATACATACCGTCAATTCTAACGTATTTGCAGATGGCACTTTGCTAATTTTCGGATTAATTTTAAGAGCCTGAAAAAGTTCCATAAGCTTATTTTGGTCACTTTCATAACTGTCTGCTAATATATTGTTGGCCGCCATACGCAAATGTTTATGGAATTTTTTAAAGTAATTGTGACGCTCGCAAAGCGATATACCTGGAATTTCACCTAGCGAGGATTCGGTGAGTTCCCGGTAGGTTTTAAATTTATGGTAGCGTTCAGCTTCAACGTCTTCCATTTTGTCATCTAACGACATTATTTGCATATCTCGTTCCAAAGGTTGTGCGTTACGCTATTGAAAATATATGTAATTTCATAAAAGCACTTTTATTGAATAGTTTTTTTATAATGCTTATAAGAAGCAACTTACATCTTGGATCACAACTAGCATGGCTAAAGCAGCCTTTTGGCGAGCATCTTTTTTCTTTTCAGATATGCCAAGTCTTTTAATAGACGCTAAGGTACAAAGCGCAATAAATTCTGGAGCATCTGGTGTACCACCTTCTTGTACCATTTCGAATGTGGGTAACGGATGTTGGTGCTGAACACAATAGTCCCTCAAGACCGCTATCATATCTGTAGTGGGTATTTCCGTTTGTTCGACTTGCGGGATCTCATCAATATCCGGATGCTGTAAACGTAGTTTCTTAATTATATTCGAAGCAGCTAGATGCTTGGCATCCTTTTTCGAACGTCCGTTGCCATCCGCCTCAACTTCCATTACTGTTGCTCTGCAAATGAAAGAACCGCTTTCCGAATCAATCCATTCGTAAGTGGGAGCAGGTATTTTATTTTCTGCACAATATTCTTGCAAAGCTGACACCGATGACTTCCCAACCATTAATGGTGAAAGAAAACCCTTCACACAAGTAAAACGAAAAATGCACAATTAATCTATGAAAATATTATATAGTCAATAAAAGAGTTTATTCTAATCGATTACGTTAAAGACTCAATGGAATTGCTAACATCGATTTCCAAGCAAGCAGCAATTATATCAGCTGTCATGCTAAACAATTTTCATTTACTATTTCTCAGGCATGTTCATGCCTAATTATTTGCATATTTTGATTAACATACCTGTAGACAAACGGAAACAGAAATCAAATTTGAGGATATGCCTTTCAACTATCGGGTCTGAGATCGCTTTGCAATTTTGATTGCGTTATCCACTTACCAGCTTAAGGTCTTTTTTTAATCCAGTTTTAGTTCAGTCATCAGCCGATCAAAAAAGTAAAGTGTAAGTTGTATTTACAAGACAAAGAAAATAAAAGGTATTTACGATAACTAAGAATGCTATAATCAGTCAAGGCCGACCTTATTTGCCGCGTATGTGCATAACTTTCATGAAAGCCCTTGTATTGGAGGATACTCAAACGTGGACGTGGTCTAATTTTAGCAAGTTAAATTTGCTTGTCAAATATTTTATTGTTTTCCAATTGTTTTAGTTATAACAAACCACAAATTAAGCTTTGTCGCCACTTTCATGGGAGCCCGTCGATCTAAGTAATAGATCTATGTGAGCCAAATTCCTTCTGGTTGATTTACTAAGGACGGATTTTGATCATAAAATATTACAAATCAAACTTACTTGGATTCTTCATTAACATCCTTATATGTGTTCGGATCTGAAGAAGAGGTCTGCGTGGTTCAAATTCCGCAAGGTTATTTTTTATGTCATATTATTATTATGAGTGAACTTTTATCAAGAAGTATTGAAAAGTAGGCCTTTTTAGCATATAAAGATTCAGTTTTCGTCGGAACGATTATATGGCAAGGGTTTCAAAAAATTGGCCTATCCGAGCCAATGCTTTCAAAGCAATTGCCGAAATATTATTACTAAACGATTTTTGTCACGAAATTTTAAAAATTTCAATATGTTTTCTTATAGCAACTTGTCACAAGAACGAGTAAGTGAAACGATACGAACCATTTTCAATAGCGTTCCTGCTTCGGCTAGAACATGTCAATATACGACCTGTAGATTGAACGCAAGCATATAAGGACAGACCGCAGTCGGATAAACAAGCTTAGCTTAGTTTAGAATCATTTTCTAAATAGCTTGTGAGAAGCTCTCTTTCTTAAGAAGTCATTCATTACCCCATATTTCATTGATTCGCACAAGTTGGAGGACGTTGATTCGTTCACAGATTTAGGCGTTCTACTTTACCATAGGTTACGTTTTAACTTGCGTGTTGAGCTCTCGTTAAGCAAAGCTAGGTCCGCGCTTGGTAAGTGGCAAAAGGAATCTTTGGCAAGCTTGCTTGAGGAGAAGGGATCGTTACATGCTCAAAAAAGTTCTTTTTTGTCTGCCAACATGGTGTAACCCTCTAAAATAATGTATGCATAAGCGTTACATATTTACCGAGGTATACGCAAATAGTTTTTTTTCTTTTTGTTTATATAATTTGTGCGTTAAAGAGGTGCCAAATACAATTCTTTTTCTTATACAAATTATTTTGAATTGAAGATTTTTCCAAGTTTAATATTTGTTCGTACTATTTACTGATGACACCTTATATGCATACGCATATGTCGTATTAATTTCTTTGATAAAACGGAGAGATCAATTATCAGTCGAGTTGGTGCAAAGCTATTACTTAGTTATTTCAATATTAGAAAAACCTTTCGTCACGAATGCCAACCATTCAATGGCTTATTAAAAATAATAATTTTTTCTGTAGTGGGGAATAGCAACTGATAACCACTCTGTGCTTGTTTTCTCTCTCTAATTAAGTAAGCGAAAAATTATTTCATATGCTTACACATTCTAAGGCTGAAAACAGATAAAATCTTCTCTCGTTTCGCATGCCTAGCTGGCTGATATGAATGATTGTTAAAAAACTTCGCTTGTTTCGCTTAGCGTAAGGTGTGAGAAGCGAGAAGAAGAATAAAGAAGAAAATCAGTAGAAAAATGAATCACTATATATGTATATATACATACAGAAAGAAGTAAATAAATCGAAAATGAATGCCGATGCATTCATGTGTCAGAACAAGAGATGGCGCATGGTTCAGCTGTAATACTGGAATACCAGCAATATGTTCAATTTGCTTATTGCATTGCATCACTGCACTAAGGCACGGTTTTGCGGTGTTTACGTATCTACTGTGCATAGGTGTGCACTTATCATTTGGACAACGATTATTTAACAACAGATTGATTATGTATATCAAAGACTTAATTAGACCCACGCGAAATGGTTCTACGATTTTTTTTTTTTTTTTGTGCAGGTAGCTTAGCTATTCCATTCCGTGATAAATTATTATGGTGTTAATCTCGAAGTCTTTTTTCTTAAGGAAAAACCAATTTTCAATGCTCGTCTTAGAGTTCGTTTAGAATGTTAAGCTCACATTAGAGATTTTTAATAAAACTCCTCTATGTAAACCCAGAGAAGGTCGGTGTTGTACTTCAAATCTTATTCGAAATGGATGGCGGAAGTTAAAATATTGGTTTATGTGGCTAAGAAGTTTCTACTCTTCCAACAATCCGTTATATCTATCTATTGAAACAATTTGCTAAAGGAAGTATTTGTACTTCGAGACATTTTAAAATATGGCCAGGGCGCTACCATAACAATTCAATATAATAACTAATTGCAAACTTGGCAAATATTTGTCTGTAATGATTACAATAATCATTCCACGTATATAAAAATTTTATACAATTATAAAAAAGAACAATTTCGTTCAATAAGTTCGTGCATTTAACAATTTTCAATCTTGTGGCACTGTACGGACATGCTTTAAGACGTGCAGTCAATACTCAGCCACATCTATATACCGTTGATTGACTTCTCATTGTGAAACTTTGTTTTCTCTTAATTTGAGGATATTTGACATTATATTGTAGAAATTATCTCCCAAGCGTTTTCCATTATTCATTGATTCCTTGGACAATGCAAGACGCGAAGGTATAAAGCATTGTCTAAGGGGTTCTCCAATTTTCTCCTACCTTATGTGAGTTTGCATGTGACTTTACTAAAGATAAGCATAATGGAAAACTAAACTGTTACCCGCATCGTTCCTGTTAGCAAGTCTTTTCGGTAACCTTAGCAATCTTTAAGAAAAATAAGAAACTTTTCATAAAACATATATATCTCGTCCCATGCCATTTCTGGCATGACAAATTTATTCTCCAAATTTATTCGCCATTTTAATAAAAGAAATTAGTCTCTTGAAATGAACGGCGACACAAGTCGCAAAAGTCATTGAGGCATTGAGTCAGTTAAAAGACTTCCTGACATTTATTAAATTTATTTGCAGTTAAACGTAAGACGTTTAAAAGATAATTTTATATTGCACACTCTACGCATACATCATTTGATTCTTCACCAATCATTTTTTAGTTAAGCTTATTGGAAATTTGACCAGTCAAATAGCCTGCAAGCACTTTAGTTTCTCACGGTCCGTAGAAGAATTTCGGCAAAGGTGTATACGGAGTGTATTGGGTGAACTTTGTAAAACGGACGAACATCCTTGGCTTAACGACTCGTTCGATATTCATCGTTCCAGTCCCGTAGAATTATATTTCGAGTATCGGCTATTTCCCCTTGACGGAAGGGACCGCGCCGTCCAAATGTGTCGCTCATTCATAAAAGGCAGTTGCTTCTTCATTTAATCTGGATAACCGCGCGCACAGATCAAATGACACTGCTCAATAGAGAGATTACCATAGATCCCGAAAATTTACTCATTGAATGAAAATTTTATTATTTATTAAGGACAAAGGTAACTTGCTGTCCACTGTTGTTTGGAAAGATTGAGAAGGATTTTTTCATAATGTTAGTCTCAATTGTGCTCAACTCAACTTTTTTGTCCTCTTATTGGGAGAAGTAAAAGTTAATAATCTTCAATTTTCTTTCAAAGTTCTCGTAATGCTATACAAAGAATTGAAAATGTCATCTCATGCAAATTTTTAAGGGATCGTCCGATCTCATCCTAATTATCATAAATTGAAAGGATTTTTTAACCTCAGGATTAACCTCAGGAGCATTCCAAGGGGCAATCAGATTGAAATACCGTTAAATCCATTTAATTATCTTAATAACACACGTCTCCTTATGTGAACTAACATATATTCTGCAATCCAGGAAACCACTGACTATGGTGGAATCAAATATGGCATGCTCTTGAGGAAGCTTGATTGTCTTGTTCCACGTATTAATCGTTCTAGGTCTAATAACAGGTTCCCCTTTGAATTGCGATTCATTCAAGTTATGCCCATTCCTAAATCAGGCAAATACCTAAACGATCTAAGCAACTTGAGACTTTTCTCGCTAATCTCGATGTTCATAACGATAAATAATCTCACTGATGGATTTTTGAACGCGTGAGAATATAATTCGAGCCTCTGCGCTTATCAAAAATGTAAATCTACGAACATGTGCATCAATGAACTGTTTTTTTTTTTCAATTAAATAATCGGAAAAAAGCAAATAAGGAATTTGTTATCCTCTTCTTGAATGTCAGCAAAGCCTATGGCTTGACTTAATGAAGTTTGGTAGAATTCTTATACATTTCTGAAGTTCTGTTTAAATGTGTTCAGGGGCCTTAAATTTTTTATCTGATCGTATGTTGGTTCGCGGCAAAGTTGAAGTGACTCTTCACTTCCAGATGCTACGAAACATCGTTCGGTGGAAGCAAATATTTTTTCGATACATGACGCGATCTTAATTTATATTTTAACACCGGCATGACGAATACAGTTTACTTTTCTAAAGGCTTCTAACAAGAAATTAGTCTCTATATTAACGGAATTATGGTGAGCCGGATCAAATCTCTTTGATTTTTGGGTACAATATTAAATGACGGCCTAGTCTTGGGAGGACCTTATGAGAAACCTTTCAAAGACTGTCAGTCTGCATATAACGCCATTAGACCTATGACTAACAATCACTTAAGATTGCCTCAAAAAGACAATATACAGAGCATTAGTCAGGTCTAAGGTGCAATTTGCATATGGAACGTCATGTAATTTACCGAAATATATAGGAAAACCAACGCATATGAAAGGGTCTCTTTTTCATACTGTTAAGGACGTCACTGAAGTTAACGTAATCAATCCTTTTTCCACAAAGATGTATCACTTGGCGATGTAGTCTTAGGCAGCTATGCATTTCGCTATCAAAAATTTCGCCAAATTTTTCTATAAGATAAACTCTATCCCCCTTTGAAATTTTTTTTTAACAATAATCGTAGTCTTCGCAAACTTCTTCTAATCACACACACACAACATATGCGAAATGTTAATCGTTCTTGTGTGAGAATGGATGCACGTATGCACATTGATAGGGTAGTTAGTTCGGAAGTACGAAGGGTCGTCTTCGTCTATCGACTATTCGCTATTTTCCGATATCGCAAATATAAAATAATATGGGATAAATCAGACTTTTCAGATTATATGGCGGCATGTTTGGCCGCCTTCCCAAATCAAGGGAAGATGCTCATCTTGAGGAATTAACTTATTATCAGTTTTTATTATCTTCTAATTCATCATCTACAATTCAAATAGATAAGAGCAACATTTCTTATTGGTTTAGTCCGTTTAAACTAAACATTAAAAAAAAAAAGGAAAAAACGAACGCCATATATCGTCGCGATTTCCCAGCCAAGTCCGTTAAGCGTATTCTATGTCGTGAACGTAAAATAGAGGAATTTTGTAAAATGATAAAATTAAGAAGCATGATAAAAAAAAAAAAAAAAAAAAAATTGCCTTCAAAAAAGAAACCCTTTTTTTTGCATCAGGACCAGTGACAACCAAGTTAAGAATTGTCATAAAATCTGTAAATAAAAGAAAAAAAGAAAAGATATAATTCTTCCTTTACAAAAGGTACGAATACGTTGCGTTTATGTATTTATTGTATTTTGCTTTGCTTTGCTTTTATCAAACATTGTCATCTACACTCGGTTTTCTTATTATTATAAAAATTTTTTTAATTTGTTCGACAGACGGGCTCCCCAGCTCCGTTTAACTTTTTGACACCTTGAAAAAAGAAAAAAAAAACTTAATTAAAAATGAAGGAAAATTATTCAATTTTTGTGAATTTTTTACCTCAAATTTTTATTCAATATTACTGAAAATGGTGACAGCTGGGTGGTTGTTTTCATTTTTTATTTGCGACACACAAATGAGGATGTACAGGCAATACAAACGAATTCGACAAATGTTACAATGTTTTCCGTCGGCCTAAGCCCTGGCCGATTATCCCCTAAGTAGAGATTTACATGAGGAAAACTTATACAATTAATGTTATTTTTTTTATATTACTTACGCATTATATATAATATGTACTTTTATGCCCACACAATTGAAGAATAACAATTGATTTTCTTATATCGTTTGTAGCATTTAGGTGCAATACTGCCTCAACAATCCGAGGAACGGTTTGCTAAATCTTCCAAGTTTCTGCAAAGGCCTCAACGTTTAATTGAAATCCTTTGAGTTTTATGGATAGATAATAGTCGCGTCGAGTGTACGATACGAGTGCATTAACACGTTGGCGTTTTTTTGCCACTATGGGCAGATGCGATAGAAATTTGGAAAACACGCTTAACCATCACTCTACGATTATCGAGAATAATTTTAGGGATTTTCCGCATATTTTCTGGCATAATCAGCTCGTTTGCGCGCTCACTCTTTTCAGACGTTTGAGCGTTTTTTTTTTTTAAATACACTGAACAACCGGTAAGTTGTTCTCAACAGAGAAGAGTTGTTTTAACAGTAATAAAAGCAGTGTCTTTAGATCAACTGCAATGCGTAAGAATATCATCGAGATGATGCGAAATTTGAGAAGGCGTCGCTTATAGAGTGGTGTTATTTAAAAATAATATGAAGTGGTTTTTGTTAGAAATGACATCTCTGTGTCAGTCTGGGGATTTGTTAAGTGATGCGCAATATCTAGAAAACTTTTTACAACCATCATTGACAGATCGTTTATTACTTTTTTAACGTCCAAGAGAGAGAGAGATAAGAAACTCAGCTATATATGTACATGTAGGTGATGAGCAATAAAATGAGAATTAAATGTCGGCGAATCAAACATCTATCGTTATTGCAGAGCGCTAGAGGAACATGATAACTGATTATTTGTGGTAAACATTGGACGATATGTGGCATCAACCAAACGGTGCAATATGTCATACATCAATTAATTGGATGAAAAGTTCAAAGATCGTGTAAAAAAAGTTCAAAGAGGCGATATCGTACGATATAAGTCCATTGGATTTTTTTCTTTGGAATTATATTAAATCAATGGTATGCTCCGATACACCACAAACTAATAATGACTTTTTTGTGCATAAGTGTTCGTGCTACTGGTGAAATGAACGTAGATTTTTAGGCGAGAGATTTCGAGAATTGAACTTTTGCGACTGCGTGATCTGCCACTACTGCGTGATCTGCCACAAGCCAGGACTTGCCCATCGTTCAGTCACCATATATGTGCGTCAAAGGGATTGTCACGCTTTTTTCGATTATTTAAAATAAAAATGTTGGGTTAACAATTATGACGCAAAAAGATTATGTAAGGCACACAAATATACGTCTAAAAAAAAAAAGGTATTCCCATCACCTTAAAGTTATCATATCTAATTTAAGAGAACGGCGGATATGGTTTGGAAAAGTTGAGAAATTTATTTGAAGAGCTCTCACCTAAGACGAAGAACTTTACTTTTTATTAAAATTTAAGGAATAACTTTAAAATTCAAAGTTTAAATTTTCTAAAGCAACCGGAAGTTTTTTACGTACGCATGTAAGTTGAAAGCGTTTCATCGTGTTATATGACGTAAACGTTTTTATTTCTAACTCATTCCACGTATCAAAGTGGAAAATTTGAAACCATTTAATAAAATGTTTCTTTCATTAGTACTCCTCGTTATTAAGTAACACCGAGAAGACCCTTCTGTTATAGTATTAACCGTTGTCTCCGTATGTGTGCATATACATTTATATAAATATATATGTACGTGTGTTTATATAAATAAATCTTATAAACAATTTATTACTCAACCTCCCTTCGCCTCGCCAAGTGACTTCTTTAAATGAAAGTGAATGATTTAATATGATATCATTAACCAAAACTCAAAAAACCGTAACGGAAAATATCACTTAAACTAAACTAGAATTGGCAACAAAAACAACAACAACAACAACAACAATAATAATAATAATAATAATAATACATGCGAATACATTTGTACCAACAAATGTGTGCAATTTACAAAAGGCACAAATGTACTCTACACACCCTCGATTACAAATCAAAGTATGAATTGCGTGTGCGTGTGCGTGTGCGTGTGCGTGTATGTGTAAGGTTTTACGCTTGTTCGATGAATTTTAGTATATTTAGTTTAAATGTGTGTAGGCGATGTTTAAAGAAGGGTTGTATTTCAATTCGAACGATTACGTTAGACAGTCTGTGTACGCAGCGAATGCCAGCGAGAAGTAAACACATTTTTGACGCGAGATGTATAAGGGAAAAATGGGCTAAACGTTTAATAGATTGCGCTCGTAGCATATTCGCATACACACATTCATGGACATACGACATGCACGCACAAATGACATTGGTATCAGTTGATTAGAATCTACAGAGAGTTTGCTACAATGTCGTTTATATTGTTTGCTATAGACAAACTATGCAACGAATGTGCTGTGCTGTTGGATGATAATTCGTATTCATCTTAGGGCTTATATGGGTTTTGTAATATCAGTTGTGTTGTTGTCATCGTTAAGGTGGGCGATGCGTGATTTCTTCTATTTTCTGACACTTGAATTATTATTCGGTTTACAGGTTGTTGGGGTTTTTCTCTTTGCTTTGTAGTCGTATTATTATTGCTTACATTATTTGTCTATCTATCTATATTGTGCTCTTGAATATAAAATTCCAGCAATAAGGAAAAGGAATATTAAATTCGCTTCAAATGCGAATTTTGAATACCCTTCACTTTAATCAAATATCGAACGGTCATAAAATGTTTTCGTAATTTTGTGAAAAAAGACGATTTTACATAAAAAGTTGGCACAGGTCCGGCATGTATTGTATGTATGTTTGCAATTTTTTTCAAATTTTCATCTTTTAGAACTTTTTTTTTTTGTTTTTGTGGAAGTTTCTACCAGTTTAATGCTTAGTTGAAAGAAAAAAAATTATATCTATTTTAAAATTGATCTGTGGCTATCAACTGACAACACATATACGTCTTATCCTTTTCCCATTTGAATTCTTCCTGGCGGAAGTAAGAGTCATAGCAAAAACTATGCTTATATCAAAATCAACTTGGAATGGTTAGCGGCCACTTTGAAGGAATGTTAACAGAAAAGCAAACTTAGTGCGTCTCCATCCGTTGCTGTTGATTATAAAAATCATGTCTACCCGATTTTCATGTTATATGCTATACTCTTAGGAGAATTTTTGTTGTGTTGTGATCAGAAAACACACAAAACATTATAAATATTTAGCTAAAAGTTTATATACTTTAGGAAGGGGGAAAGAGAGAGAGAGAGCAAAAATAGACTGAAAGAGAACTTCTCATTGGATTTACTTCAGGACTCGATTGAGAACTTAGACTGTGATATTAGGGGCAGGTAGATTTTCTTTACTGTGTTTTTGCTGCAATCGCGCATTCACTTTTTTTTGATTTCGAACGGAAGAAATAACATCATTGAAAGTGTGCTGAGCTAAGCGCTATTAAGATTATAAAAAAAAGATTTGTCTAGAATTTCCTTAATCTAGCCTGTTCATGTCCTTCGGAGCTATCAGTCATCGACCGCTTCTTTTTTGTCTTTGAAAGAAAAAAAATCTTTCTTTTCAGGAAAATGCTAAAAAATATTTGGCCATCAATAACTATCCAGTTTTCTTATCTTTGTGGCAAAATATCAATTCTGGGCCGGAAAAGCTTCTGGTCTTTAAAATACCTATCTTTTCCATGGCGTCAGAAGAATGAGTTAAGGAGGATAAGGATCAGGATCGAAGGAAAGGCTGAGTTGTTAATGAATACAGCGGAGTTAATGGTACAGTTCCGGTCAGTCCTGCTAACATTTCCAGCACGAAGCACTCACTTTTCATTTGATAGTTAACTCAGTTCCATGAGTCATTATTGGCAACGCTGGCTAATGCTGCTTCCGTTCAATTTAAAGCACCTTATAATGATTTTCATCACTCAAATTAAGTAGAAAAAGTAATGCTTCCTGCTCTTGCTATCACTTCTCAGGGGCTTTGTGGGATTAATGTACTTAGACCCCCAATAAACCATTAAGAATGTTTATCTTTTGAAAGGAATGATTATTGTGCATTGTCTTTGCGTATAATTAACATTTAATCAAAATGTTTTTTCAGTGGATTTTGTCAATAAGAACTCTATCTAGGTAACTGTAGTCAATACTGATTGGTCCATATTTTATATTGTAGTATAAATGTTTGGATGGTTGGCAACTTGTACTCAAACTTATATCTAACAGTGCGATGGAAGGAAGAGCGTGAAAAGTCGCGGAAAGTTTCATGTCATGTAATGCGACTCAAAAAAAAAAAAAAAAAAAAAAAAAAAACATCGTTCAATGGGAATTTTACTTATGAAAACATGCTCGTTAATTACGTGGTGTGAATTATACGAAAATCACATAATTTGAGACCATATGTGTGTCAGCTCTTTCTACTCTTATTAGACTTGTCTATAGCGTAGCGTATAATGCCTTCAGGCGTTCAAACATTGCTGCGCGTGTTGGTTTACTTTAAGAAACTATATCCTATTAAAAACACATCCACGTATGCATTACAAATATGTTCTTAAAATAGATGTGTATATATATATGTATATATATTTAATGGTAATTAAATTCTTATTTAACATATTTTGCGATAACTTTTATGCGGTCTGCTTAGGTTTCCAAAGTCTGCATAATTTTTAAGTAGACCAGGATAGGGTGTATTAGTTTTTAGAAAAGCTTAATAAACACATTTCGCATTTAATGGTATGAGTGCGTCTTCGATGCCCTGAGGAGGCAATAATTAAATTACAAATGTTTACACGCGTAAATTTGTTTCTCTCTCATTTAAAGCTAAACATAAACCGCGCACACTTCTTCTCGTACTTTCCTCCTCTCATCTACGCTTACTTGCCTGGCCGCCTGTAAGCGGAGTGTCGTTATTTTAGCAATAATTTCCATATCAGTTACATTTGGCAGCCCACCATTCACCCACTGTGACTTTAGTTGATTGTTGTATGGAACCGTATGTTGCTTAAGCTATAATCGCCTCACTCTTGTGTACCACGATTTGATTACATTTTCTAGCATTTCCTACGCCTTCGTTACCGTAATTGAATCATTTTAGAGCAATTTATTTGTGTCGCTTACAACATGTGCGTAAACGTGTTGAAGATGATGCTGTTATTGCTTTGAAACAATAATCATGTTATTATTAGAACGCGAACAGAAGCATCGCACTTGTTACCTGCCTATACGACAATTGTGGCAGGTATGTATGTAGGTAAACGTCGTTCCGTAGGCTATTATGATATATAGCTAATTATGTCATAAATTTTCCAAAATTGTGAATGTGTGTTGCTGAT